TCCCCCTGGCCAGACACCCGCCCCCCCCCCAGCACCCTGCCACCTGCCTCAGCACCTTGCCCCAGCACTCTGTCCCTTGCCCCCACCAGCAGAGTTGGGGCCATATTAGTGAGGCTTGGGGTTTTTTGGAGGGGTTGTTTTTTGTATCTCAGTGGTGTGGTCCCCCTCCGGCTGACTTTTCTGTGGGTCATTTACCCCCTGACTCAAAACAGGTTCCCCGCCCCTCTCATAAATAAAGACAACGCTGAAACATGTTGTGTTTGACATAATATTTTATTAAAAATGAAGCATGGCCAACAAGCCCCCAATTGGGTCAAGCCCCCATCTGGCTGCAGCATCATAACATTCTGGCACCCCATCCACCCCAGACCCCAAACCTATCATACACTTGAACCCCATCCTGAGCCTCTCACTTTCCAAACACCTGCACCCCCACATCCCCAGTCTTCTGCCACAACACTCCTGCACCATTCACACACTGCAAATCTGTGCCGAGACCATCATACTCCCAGCCTCCCTGCCCTGAGCCCATCATACATCCCAGCCCAAACTCCTACACCCTCTCAGCCACAAGCCTGAGGCTTGCTCAGCACCCCAATCCTCCACCTGACCCCAACACTGTCCCGCCTGGAGCCCTTTCCCAGGGATGACGTACTGGCACCTATTTACCCAGGCACAGCTGCATATATCTTTTTTGTTGTTTTTGCTCAACAACTTTCCCCCCTGGTACATGGCTCTTTGAACTCTGTCCACCACTATTCTGGCTCTTTATCTCTAGTGGGTTGGCTATCCCTGGCTTAGTGCAATCTTTCAGCATGCAGCTGCACTGGAATAGCAGCACTGCCGTAAGCTCGGAACTGCGGTCATGGTCTATGTCTATAATGCAAAGCCAGGTTGACTTAAGTTATGTTGACATTCAGCCACCACAACTAATTAAACTGAGGTTGCATGTCCACACTATGCTCCTTGTTTTCATGGAGCATATCCACAGTAGCAGTTCTTGCAGGGACACAAAGCACTGCACACTGGCTGCAGTGTGTTCTGGGAAGTGTTTGCAAAGCCTCATGGGGCAGCATCATATGATTCATATTTCTCAATCTTACCACTTCTTGGGCACCACTAACCCTGCTACCAGTCACAAGGCTCTCAGAGAAGCTACTTGGCTGAGAGAAGCCTCAAAGGAACATGATAACAGGGTTGCTGTAGGGTGCTGAGCTTGGCGTTGCTTGTCTGCATCGTGCCATGTGTGCCCAGCTATAACAATGCACATGTCCCTATTGCTCTCAGCTGCAATGTTAGCAGCAGTGACCGTGTGATAGAGAATAATAAAAATGGTTATCTGTGCCCCGTGGACAGTCATTGGAAGGTTTTTCTCCAGCAGTATCCATAAGTCAGCTGTGGAGACCCCTAGAATGGCATCAATATAATGGTGTATATAATCTATTGGCGACCCTCCCCCTGCTCAGTTCCTCCTTGTGGGACATACTCCAACTGAGGGGCGGTGGATGGATCTTGGAATGGTCATAAGCAGCACATCTTGATGAACAGTTACGAAAATACAAAATATCCGTACTCATGGGAGAGGACAAAATATTTCCTTTCCACCTATTTAGAATGGAAGCCGGTGTGTGCCAGAGGATCTTCATTGTGGCCCAAATAGTTTTAATAAAGAGTAGGGCCACTTTGGATGGGCCTTTAGGGGTCAAAATATCTATCATGGGATCCAGGTCCTCAACCACTTACTCGGCCTGCAGCCCCAGATTCTAGGCCAGGCGCCTAAGCAGCTCCTGGTGGGCCCTATTGTCCATGGGGGCAGGGATGTAGAGGATCCTGCCACTTCCTTGTCTAGGGACAATGAAGAAGAGGGGCTGCCTAGCGCCATGTCCTCTGGAGCCACTAGTGATACAGACTCCCTGTAGTCTGAACACCAGTGCCAGAGTGCTCTCTATGCTTTGCACTGTGGCCCAGGGCAGCAGTGACTGCCTGTTGGTACGACCCAGTGCAGGGTGGAACAACTGGCTCGGTACCACGTGTTTTATGGTTTGGGTGCAACTGGCCTCGAGAACAGTGCTGGTCTCTGTCTCAGCACTGGTTGGTGCACACCACACACAACACAATGGTCTCAGCTGGAATCTCATAGGGCTGATGGATGTCATCTGCAGAGTAGTCAAGCCCTCATGAGACACAGCAGATTGCTCTGCACTTCTAGCCAGGTCCCTTGCAAGGGATGCCAATGGAGTGCTCCTCCTGTCCGAGACAATGGACATCAATCTGGATCTGCCAGGTTGGGCTTGGCGAGATGCCCAAGGGGTCCAAAAGGGCCAATGCAATGGGGCTTGCCACTGTGGAGGCCAGGATAGAGGGGCATTCTGATGACTATCATCCTGTCAGGGAGAGGAGTGGCACTGGCTCCTGCTGGCTCTGACTCTGATTCCCAGGTTGAGCCAGATGGAGAAGACAAAGGCAGTGTCATGCCTGATAGTGCAGGAGAGTGTTGAGCTGGCATCAACTCCCTGGAATTACAGCACTGAGGTGAATGCTCATGTGATGGTGCAGTGGTGACCAGTGCCAGGGAAACTGATGCCAAGGTGAGGGTGACCGCTGCATCATAGCTAGCTTGCCCCATGATGTACTGGGTCCAGCATTGGAGACAGTGCCAACTGCTGCCTTAGGGAGCCTCTTGGGGAAGCCAAGCAGCTGGACATCAACTCAGTCAAGTATCTGGCTGCTTTATACATCTCAGGGTGGACAGCATGTCCACATACCACATCTGATTTTCCCTGGCAGGGGAGTCTGTCTGGATCCAGACTCAACGGGGCTGGTTATGGTACTGGAATCCATGGTACCAGCTGGTCCCTTTGCTTTTAAGGGTGTCCTGGTGTGCACCGAGACTGGCAACCCTTTCATTCTTTCTGCCACTGAAATAAACAATTGAGGTGATTTACGAAACCCTCGCATGTTGTCTATGTAAAAAGCTAACGCCCTCCTAACATACAGTCAGTGCAAAGCCTGTTCCCTGGGTGAGGAGTGTGGCTTGAGGTAAAAGACCGGTAGGTAAATATCCTGGGAGAGATGGAAGTGCGAGACAACCTTGGGTGGAAACCTCGGGTGTGGACGTAACCTCACCTTGTCTTTAAAGAACACTGTGTAGGGTGGTTCTGAAGTCAGCGCTCTAAGCTCTGACACCTTCCTGGCCAAGGTAATGGCCACTAGAAAAGCCACCTTGTAAGACAAGTGCTTCAGAAAGCACGATGCCAGAGGCTCGAATGGCGGTTTCATACGGGCAGTCAGGACCAGGTTAAGGTCCCAAGGTGGGACTGGCGGTTTCTCATATGGTATCATCCTGTCAATTCCCTTCAGAAACCTTTTAACCATAGGATTAGCAAAGATGGACATCTGACCCTCCCCGGGGTGAAAAGTGCAGAGTGCAGAGGTTCGGGGCCTGGGCCATTATAGCCATTATAGCCACCAGGTGTACCCTCAGGGAGGCTGTGGCAAGGCCTCGCTCCCGCAGTTGGAGGAGGTTCTCCAGGACAGTTGGGACCGCCGCTTCACCTGGAATGAGCATTCTAGCCCCTAGCCATGAGGTAAACCCCTTCCGTTTAGCCTCGTAAAGGGCTCTAGCGGACAGCTTCCTACTTTCTGAGCACCTCCTGGACTCCTCTGGAGCAGGCTTGCTCCATAGCTGAGAGCCACTGAGGAACCATGCCGCTAGGTGCAGGGACGACAGGCTCAGGTGGAGTGCTACTCCGGCCTCGCAGCTC